GGCGCCTGATTACCAAAACTTGAACTGTATTCCCTTGTTCTCCAGGTGGCGCCTGATTACCGATACTCGAATTGTTTTCCTTTGAAACTGCTTCTCCCTTGAAACTTGTGCTGTCTTCCATTGTTCTCCAGGCGGACACCTGATTTCAACAAAACAGACCAACAAAAGAAATTTTCTGCCCCAGTTTGATATTGGGAACATTTGTGAGTGTTAACCGATGCTTGTTATCAAAATATCTCAAAGAATCTAAAAGCTAGATCCCATTATCCAGGAGGGTCCTGAAAATTTAAACTTAAAGCTCATCTTAAGAGTGACAATTTCAAAGCTAAATTCTATTTCCTAAAGGTAAAAATTACGCTAAATCTTATTATCTATGAAGGTCTTAAAAACTTAAAACTAGATCCCATTATCCAGGAGGGTCCTAAGAACTTTAAATTAATCCCATTATCCAGGAGGGTCCTGAAAATTTAAAATTAAATCCCATTATCTAGGAGGGTCCTGAAAAGCCGAGAATGAACTTACCTGAGCCATGCTTTCTTCCTGGAGGATCTCTGCAGAACGAACAAAATTCCTTGCCCCCTGTTTCAATCAAAGAAAACTTGTGAGTTTAAACATGGTGGTTGGTTTGTGGCCTTGACTTTGAGGGCAATTGCTCCTTCACTTTCCATGATAACTTTGATTTCAACTCGAAAAACCTTGTTTGTTTATTGACTAACCACTTTTTCTGTCACCCTTATCCCAGAAGATACCTCTGATGCGTTCAAACCCAACATCCTCTATCTGTTGCATTTTTCTCATGATTGGACATTTACCGAACCTTTGTATTTCACATGAATCCCAAAACACGTTGATTTTTACAAACTCGATGCGCTTGCTGTTCTTTCCTGGCCTTGGCCTTGAGGTCTATTGCTCCTTCACTTGCCATGATAACTTTGACTTCCACTTAGGAGACCTTGCTTGTTGTTGGTTAACCACTTTCCCGATCAACCTTATCACAGGAATGCCTTTGACCCATTCAAACCCAACACCCTCTGTCTGTTGCATTGTTCATAAATTGACATATACCGAACCTTTGTATTTCACATAAAACCCAAAGCACGTTGATTGTTACCAACTCAGTGTGCATGCTGTCTTTCCTGACTTATGCCACTTTGATGTGCTAGCCAGATTCCGTTTTTGTGCAATTGGAAAGCCGGTGGCAGATTTTGAAGTTATTTCTCACTTATTCTGACCAAACAGACTCAGGAAGAGGAAGTAAACAAGACAAAAGGAACAGAATAAGGACAATGGAAGGAGATGATTCCTAACAAGAAAACTACAAAGTAAAAACATATCAGATGTGGATACCAACTCTAATGACGATGACATGCACCTTTGGATTAAGTGGCTTAATCTGTCAAGCAAGTCTGATGTTCAACTCCTGTTATACCCTAAACCGTGAAACCGGGCTTCAATGCTCGGATTATCCAATCTGATTCACAATCCTTATTCGACTTGTAGTGCCCGAAGGGTTTTCACCATCAAGCCTCTCTCATTTTGTTCTTTCTCTCAACTCACCATCGCCTTATGGTGCCTGTGAAGGTTTTCACCAATAAGACTCTCTCATTTTGTTCTTATTTTCTTATTTCTTCTGATTCTACAGATGACAAGGCATTAACCATGGTAAAAATATCATATGCCCTTGGCATGTCTAAACTCAGCTCTTTCAAAGATTATCTGGGAGGTCTTTTTTGGACTGTAATGTGGCTTTTGGACAAGGTTAGAAAGAAAGGATAAAGGCTCAAAATAACTAAGACAACGAGGTTAATTTATTTATAACTTTTGGAATCCATTCTAAAAACTTTACCCCAATTTCTAAAACAAAGGGAATTTGATTCTTTTTTTTTGTTTTTCTTTTCTTTTGATGGAGCTACTAAGAAGACTGCCCACTCCCGATTCGTGGATTATAAATATTTATTGTATGACCGAACGTAAGCTGCCTACGTATCTTGTGGTGACAAGAATCAGTTCAAATGTAGTTCAGAAAGATACGTTTTGTTGTTGCTATTTTTCTTTTTCTTTTCTTTTCTTTTTCTTTATTTTTTCTTTTTTTTCTTTTCCCATTTTTTTTCTTTGTTTTTCTCTTCTTCTTTTTTTTTCCTTTTGGAATGAACCTTTTAAAATAAACCTATGGGGACATAAACTTTTTTTTTCTTTTTTTTTTCGCATGACTCTAACTTGATTCCAAAAGAGGGGAGGTAAAAGAAATTAGTACAGGCTCAAAAGGGTATCAAATGGTATAAGTGTTTGGGTAGCTGAAAGAGGGCTTCCCAATCCCTGAAAATGCCAAGAACAACACATGCAACTTGAAATGAAAATTGAAGATCATGCGCAATATTTCTTTTGCGGCTTCGGCATTGGTATCACTGGTATGCCTTCCACTTTTCTTTAGCGACTTGTCAAGTACAGAACCCTCATTGGGTGATTCCCTCTTCACAATGGATATCCTCTATCAATTCAGAGAAAGCTTCCTTGACTGTATCTTGTTACTTGAGGTGCACTCAGAATTGCTCGCTTCAAATTGTCTGGGATGCACTCTCCTTTTAATGAATTCTTGTCATCCTATTAACTTCCAAAATTATCTGCCCCAGTTTCGCACGATTCGCGCTTCAAATGATCTCAAAATGTCCAAATCTGTACTTATTTCCCTCAAGTGCCCCTATCATCTTCAAAATTGCTTCATTGCTTCATGACTAAACTAACTTTAAGACCAGGCCTAGAATTATGCGTGCATGTCATGTCACTAAAGCCAGCATGAAAAGAACTATAAAAGAAGAAGAGAACTAAACAAAAAAATGACTAGAAATAACAGAAGACCGGAAATTGCATTAGACAGACGGTGAAATGGTTCGAACAACAAAACAAGCACACTAAACTAGGGTTACAAGCCTGGAACAAATCTAGACAACACTAAACGAGTTACTACGACTAAACGAACCAGGCAAAATAAAAGGATAGGAGGGTTTGAGTCACAAGACAATATCCGGATTACAACCCTGAAATAACCTGGACAACAGAAATGACAACAAAATAAACTACCAAGACTCCTTCCTGGATAGCCTTGAAAGGAGCATCTTTCCAATCAACAAGCTCAACATCTTAGCCAATGAGTTCCGCATCAACATTGCCAAGACCATTACCAACTTCAACATCATTAACTTTGGTCAGCAAGCTCCCAAGGGGATTCGCATACCCCATGTCACTGTCCTTGATCACAATTATCCCTTCTTGAATCATTCTTTCTATTTCCCTTTTCAAAGCACGACAATCTTCGGTGCTATGCCCTTGGACATTAGAGTGGTACATGCACCGTACGGTAGGATCAAAACCTTTTGCATATGGGTCAGGAGTATAGTCGAGGAGCGGCTCAATCAAGCCAGAATGTTTTAACTTCTTAAACAAGTTTGTGTAGGATTCTCCAATGGGCATGAAATTATCTTTTTGCCTTTGTTTCCCTCCATGCCCCAGTTTTCTAAGGTTGTTGGATGCTCGAAAATGCTGCGGAGGCAAAAGTGCACTATGCGGTGCTGGCGCTCGCCATGAGGATTGACCCAGTTGTTGGACAGATGGTCAGACTTTGTTCGGATGATAATACTGGGGTGGATTATGTGGAGCTCGGGGAGGTTCATGGGGTCGGTATTGAAGCTGAAAGCATTTAGCAGGAATGCCCACTGGATCCTGTCGTTGGCGGGGTTCAGCAACATCTTTTCTATCAATGGGAGGACTGTCCCGAGCAACTTGTTCGTTCCATCTGAACCAAAATTCCCTAAAACTTTCCTTGGGTTTCTTTTCCATCTAAGATAGGGAGGACCGGTCTGGGACAATGTCTGTATTGTACTGAAAGTGTCGCACAAAATCTCGAGCCATGTCATCCCATGTATGCCACTCCCTGACATCTTGACGAGTATACCATTCCAAAGCTGCCCCAGTCAGGCTCTCATTGAAATACGCCGTCAGCAACTTATCTTTCCCGCCAACACTTCTCATTTCACTGCAATAACCCCTCAGATGGGCTACCGGATCTCCACGTCCATCATACAAATTAAACTTTGGCGTCTCAAACCCTTTCAACTTTCTGGACATCTCATCTTGCTCTTCTTTTCCTGTGAACTTTTCGTTTTCAACCTGAGTTCATTTCGAAAGATGTGATTGTATGAGTCAGGGACCTTGTGGGCAACCTCTAAGTGGTAGTATTAGGCATCAAAGGGGTTGAATTGGTGTTCTCTGTTGGACCTGAGGAGAGGTTCTTGAGAAGTTGTGATCATGGAGGTAATGGATAGGACAAAAGGGCAATTGTTGGGAAAGGTAGTTGGAGGACGAGTGATGGAGCTACGAGGGTGGTTGGGAAAGCTCTGATAAGCGGGAAAATATGGAGAGTATGGGGAATCATTTGGCACTATGACCGGAGTTTGGGTAAGGGTAGCATCTAGGAAGGTAGGTGTTGGCGGGGGTGGTGCCTTCCCAGTCATCCAAGCCAGATACATGTCCGCCATGTGTTGTCTTAATATCCTCACCTCTTCAACCAACCCATTGTCCTGTTCAATCAATTGCGTTTGGGCACCCGTATCAACCAACTCAGTTCTATTGTCATCTGGCATTGCCTTTCAACTTTATGTTGTAGAGAAAAGTTACCACTCTAAGAACCACAAACCAACTACCCTTTCTGCTTTGTAACAAAAGGAACAAAATGAGGTCATCACGTTAGTGTTAGGGAATTTAACAGCTAAAAATATCACATTGCGTGCAATGCACCTAGCAACAAGTAATGGTTCAAGAACGACTTCGAGGGTCACAAGGTCACTTGGCATCATCCCCACTTTTTCTTTTCTCATTTCTTACATCCCATAATTTCACCTCTTTTTTTTCCTTTTTGTTTCCTTTTTCTTTTAAAAAAATGAATCGATCGAACCCTATGTAGGTTGCCTACGTATCATGTCCCTCATGAATTAGACCAAGCGTAGTTCTTGAAAAGTAATGATAAATTAAACTAAAAAAAGGTCTTTTTGGATTATTCATTTACAACTTTCTTTTTTTTCTTTGATTTTCAAAACAAAAACGGGAAATATGATAATGAGAAACTCAACTCAACTATACTACGACAAACTCCGACACCAACTAAAAGATTATTGCTACTGGACATAACTATAAAGTACAAGACAGCATTAAAAAACATACTCAAAATATAAAAAATTCTCCTTAAGCAACTCCTGGATGCAACGGTCCTAACCAGACGGTCTTGGGGTGTTTGTCATGCTCAAACTCCGGTGACTAGATCCACACCTGTATGAGAAAATTAAGACAAAATAAAGTTAAAGACCTAGAACGCTAGGTGAGACAATAACCCTTCCTGTTGGACACATGCAGGACATGATTGTGACTATTTTTCTAAAATTAACCTATGTGGCTAATAATACAAGATTTGGCTAGGACACCGCAAAGCCGAGAACCTAAGATTCACTAGGAAGACCGGACCCTGTGGGTTGCCTACGTATCACGCCCCGAAAGACGAGAATCAGGTATGCGTAGTTCGGGAAGATTGGATACCGCGCGAGAAATAAAAATAACAACTAATTCAGAGAAAAACATTTTGTCTTTTGTTTTGAAAAATGATGAAACATGTAAACTCTTTTTGGGTTTTCTTTTTCCTCTTTTTTATTTTTTTTTTTGAAAAATAATAGGGAAAGTGCAAAATCTTCTTTTGGATTTTTTATTTTTTTTTTGTTTTTTTTTCTTGAAAAAGTGTGAAAGAAAATTATTACTAGGCCCCACTTGCTTCATTTTTCACACTTCACTCTCTCTTTTTTTTCTTTTTTTTTCTTTTTTCATCTGCCCTCAACTATCATTGGTCCACCAAATGACCCTTTTACCCTTGAAGAAATGCAACATGTAGCACACAGGATGCATCAGGATGGTCTTTTATTTTTTGGGTACGCCTGTCCTAGACGGACCCAACCCCTGTGTTCAGTCCCCAAAGTCAGATGCACGTGATGCAGACAAGCGTTCCTACTAGGGATCCGGCATGAGGCTATGTTATTCTAGGCTTAAAAACCTGTGTTTATTTGTTCTAGACCTGGCTTACCCGAGCGGACAGCTCGAGCCGAGGGGGAGTAGCGTACCGAGAATACAGAAGCTTCACCGTCTTTGCAACTTGTCCGAACCTCGTTCTAAAATTGGGATATGACTCTAATAGAAGAGAAGCTACACGAAGTGCACCCTCTCAAATGATTTAGAAGACTCAGAGAGAAGAGGGATTCAAAATAGTTTATTTACAGTTCAACAATATCAAAGCGGTAAAAAGCAACATTTAGCACCTTAGGCCCAAACATGTAAAAATAATCAGATAATAAATAAAGCCAATTATAACAGATATTCTAAGCACAAATTCTGAACTCTGAACCAGAAGTTCTGGGTTCTTTTCCCCAGCAGAGTTGCCAGAGCTGTCACACCTCTTTTTTACTACTCTGGACCGGTGTAAGGGAGTTTTTCCAATTTAAGTTACAATCGAAACGGGATTAATTATTTAAATTCAGAGTCGCCACTTGGGATAATTTATGGTGTCCCAAGTCACCGGTTCAAATCCCGAGTCGAGAAAAATTGACTCTGTTTTATAGTCCGCAAACACAGAAATCCGGGTAAGGAATTCTGTTAACCCGTGAGAAGGTGTTAGGCACTCCCGGGTTCCGTGGTTCTAGCACAGTCGCTCAACTATTATTATTGGCCTAATTATCTGACTTTAAAACACTTTTAAAAAACCTATGTGCTTTTTTTAACTTTTGAAAACCGTTTTTATTGATTTAAGAAATTAATTCAAGGTTATTTAAAATACATCGCAAGCCACGTTACATGAAATGCACCCGTGAGTCACGACACGTTCTATTTAACCTTGTTGGAAATTGAAGTCGGATCACATGAAATGCACACCCGGATTTCAGTAATTACAAATCACAACTACGTCACGGGAACCATACTCGTAGCCATGATAATTATTTACGCGCCGAAAAGTTTGCCTTCCCCTGTGTGGTCGGCCTAAAAATATTCTTAACTACCCGAATAATTAAAAGAAAACAACACGAGAATAACAAAATCTTTCTTAGGCTCGAAATCCCTTCTCATTATTAACCGACCCCAAAAATCTTGTTTTAAGCCAACAAATCCACAACCTAACATACAAAATCTCCTAATCCATCGCTTTTAGTTCAATGGTCGCCCAGAACCAAAATCAATAGGAGGTACTTAAGTTGTCCAAATGAAAAGGCAATGATCATTCATAATAAAATAAACAAATTACAACAAAAATCAGAGATAAGATCAAGCAGTCATAAGTTTGTAAATAAAGCGTTATCTTCTTGGTTTGTTCAGAAAGGGTTCTCATAATTCAACCCAGTATGCTACGACTTCCAATAATGAAGACTAATAGAGCAAAATAAAAGAGAAAAATAACAGAATCATACATACAGTTATCATCTTAAAGCAAACTTTTGATTGAATGCAATTATATTTGTTCTTCAACTTAAAAGAAAATGCTTACCCGAAAATGAACACAAAAATCTGAAACGGAATAGAACTAATCGCAACTGGAAACGACATCGAGAACCTCGAACGAAAAAACCTCGAAACAACCACCTCTAACGTTGATCCCTCGAACGGGATCTCGCCGGCAGCTCGATCACTCGAACAAACACCATATGGGCAGAATTGAACAAATTTCCATTAAAATCAGAACAAGCGACAACTCTAAAATTCAAAAATCAAAGTCGATGTTGGTTTTGGGCGTGCGGGTGTGTTTTTACCGGCGAGCTCGCCGCTGGCTTGGTGAGAGGAGAGTCCGGCGTTCTGCAACTCGCAACAGAAGAACGACGAGGGGGAGGGAGGCCGCGTCTGTTCAGCGGCTCTTTTTTGTCCTGTCGCTTAGGTCTCTCTGTTCAAAAATGCTTAAGAAGATCAACGCTGGGGGTCTTTCTTTTTGGAGTTATACGGCTATGCAGCTTCCTAGGTCTTGATTTTTTCATTTTTTCAGCTTTTGGCGTTGGTTTTTTTTTTTTTGTGGTCTTTTTTTGGCTGATTGCGTCTAGATCTAGGAGTCTATAGAGTGTGTCCCATTTTCAGAAAACGGCTCCCTGTATAAAGTGTAGGGATCTAGGTTTTATTTAGGATTTTAGGATTAGGTTAGCAGGTATTGGGCTTAGGATTATGGGCTAGATCCGAATTGGGCCACACTTGGCCAAATATACCTTTTAAAGTGGCCCTTTTACTCTAGTAGACTAAAAATATTAGCTCCTAAAATAACAACTTCAAAATTATGAACTCATTTCCAATTAATTAATGTAAAATTAAAATTAAAAGTGAAACTATTTTATATCAATTAGCTAAATAAATAAATAAATAAAAATATTATTTTGTAATTTTTAATTTTGTGACAAAATAAAGTAAAAGAGTCGAAATTAGTTGAAATAAAGACATTAGGCTTAAACTAAATATTTACATGCTAAATGGATGAAATCTCGGGGAGGGTCAAAAATCACATGTCTAAACATGATATTCCTGACACATGCAATTGTATAATTTTTATCACGGGTTAAAACCCTCTTCTGGAAATATGATTGATGCAGCTGCAGGAGGTTCTGTGATGGGAAAAACAACAGAAGAAGCATTGCAGTTATTAAATGAAATTTCTGAAAATGCCATTCCATGGCCATCTGAGTGTGTAATCATCAAAAAGGCCGCTACGGTAAATCAAGTTAATGCTTTAAACACACTAACACAACATATCGTTTCTTTGGCACAAAAATTTGAATCTTTTCAGGTGAATACAAAACAATCAAGCCAGTCTGAGGCTTGTGATATGTGTAGAGGAAACCATCTGAATCATGAATGCCAAGCAATCAATCAAAATGATGAACAAGTCAATGCAATCGGTTACAAGCAGTACCCCTTTGGAAGTCCAATGGCACATAAATATCCAGGATTTCAATGGAGCAATCCAAATGGTGCTGAGAACCTCTCAGAGCTTCCAAAAGCCACAGGTACAAGGTCCACCTAGTTACCAAAATCAAAATTATGGGCAACCAAATTTCAGCCCTTATTGTCACGACTCAAAATCCACTAAGGTCGTGATGGCGCCGGACACCGCTGTCAGGCAAGCCAACCAAAATACTTAATTAAATTCTCCTTTTAAATACTCTTGAAATCTATGATTTTCCTTCAAATTTACCAATTAAAAAGATAATTCGCTTAAATTTAAATTAAATGATAAGCAATTAATACAAAATACTTCATAACCATCCCAGAACCCGGTGTCACAAGTGCATGAGCAATTTCTAAAGGTAGTCTAGCTGCGGGTCGCCTCGAGGAAATACTGATAGAATCCTGAGAGAGACTATACTAGCTGTGGGTCGCCTCGAGGAAATACAGCTCACCTAGTCTCCGTGTCAACCCTGCTGCTACGCCCACTAGGCCACTAGAGATGCATGTGCATGTGCAACAAAAATGCACAGAAGTGTAGTATGAGTACAAAAACAACGTGTACTCAGTAAGTATCCCGCCTAATATCGAAGAAGTAGAGACGAGATGGCAACTTCGACACTTACTATTGGTCAAATAATAATAGTGTTAAAGCGATGACTCACGAATTTCTTAAGGACAACAGTAGATTCAAACGAATTACTAAATAGGTAAAAATTCCTCTTTATTTAAGGTCTCCAGATTCATAATTCATTCATTAACAATTTTCTCAAGTCTGGGAGAGCAGATGGCGATATCAATAAATCTAAAGACAAGCAATTCAAACATGCGCAATTCATGCCGAGGTCGTACGGCCCGATCCAACATAAATGTAAAATGTGCATTGCAGAGGGTCGAGCGGCCCGAACCATAGATGCATCTATTACCCCGCTCGCGAATCATACATGCGACGTGGTCAAATTTAAATAAACAATCACCCTGCTCGCGTACCGTACATGCCACGCAGGTACACATAGAAATACATGCTCAAACAGCAAATTAACAATTTTACGGGGAACATTCATCCCATTAGAAGCCAATTCTCTTTTAATGATTTAAGGAATAAAGTTTAATCCTCTTAGAAATTCATTTACCAATTCAATAGGATTTAAGAAATTCAACTGCCAATAAGATTGCAATTATTCCAAGTATAGCATGCTTTTGGGTCCTAGACTACCCGGACTTGCACATATTAGTAGCTACGCACGGACTCTCATCACCTCGTGCGTACGTGGCCCCCACAAATAGGAGCACATAACCAAATATTTTACCTATGGGGATAATTCCCTCTTACAAGGTTAGAAAGGAGACTCACCTCGCTCCGAAGATCCATAACTGGCATTCCACGCCCTTCCGAAGACTCGAATCGATGCTAAGCGCTCCAAAGCTAGCCAATAATTATGCAAATCCATTAATATAGGCTCAATTAATCATTACAATCCAATTTATAACAATTTCTAACCCCGATCGAAAAGTTGACAAAATCGCCCTCGGGCTCACGTGCCCGGATTCCGAAATTTACGAAGATAAACTTTACCCATGACCTCACAACCTCAAATATATGATTTACTCTCAATTTCATACCTATAATCGTGGTCAAATTCCAAGAATATCATTTTTCTAGGTTTTCCTCAAACCCCCAAATTTCTACCAATTTACATGCTAAAATCCATACATAATTGATATATTTAACTCAAAAGAGGTGGGATTAGCTTACCTTTTCGTAGATGATGAATATCCCCTCTTGAAACCCTCCAAGAATCGCCCAAGCCAAGAAAACATGAGAGAAAATGGCCAAATCCCGATTTTTAAAACACTCTCTGCCTCCGGCACTTTCCGCACCTGCGGTCCCTTGATCGCTTCTGCGGTTCCGCAGGTGCGAGCCAATCTACCGCTTCTGCGGTTTCCTCCAGGCTCCCCTTTTCCGCTTTTGCGCCTCATCCACCGCAGGTGCCATCACGCTTCTGCGGCTCCATGACCGCATCTGCGGTCTCTTCACTTCTGGCCAAAGCCGCATCCGCGGCTCTCTTGGCCACTTCTGCGGCTCCGCACCTGCGGCCCAAATTTTGCAGGTGCGGTTATATCTGCAACCAGCAGCTTCAGCCCTTTCAAAAATCCCATTTCCGATCCGTTAACCACCCGGAATCCACCCTGGCTCCCGGGACCCCATCCAATCATACCAACCAGTCCCAAAACACATTACGGACTTGCTCGAGGCCTCAAATCATATCAAACAACGCTAAAATCACGAATCGACCTCCAATTCAAGCTTTATGAACTTTAGAATCTCAAACTTCTACTTTTGATGTTTTAACCTATCAAATCACGTCCGATTGACTTCAAATTTTGTGCACAAGTCATATTCGACATTACAGACCTATTCCAACTTTCGGAATCGGATTCCAACCCCGATATCAAAAAGTCCACCTCCGGTCAAACCTCTCAAAAACCTTCAAATTTCTATCCTTAGCCAAATGGCTCCAAAATGCTCCACGGACATCCGAATTCACTTCCGATCGCACTCCCAACTCCAGAATCACCATACGAAGCTACTCCCAGACTCAAAATCCCAAACGGATATCGATAAAACTGAAATGCACTTTAACCCAAACTTATGAAATTTCTTCCAAAATGCTAACTTCCACAACAGGCGCCAAAACGCTCCCGGGTCACCCAAAACCCGATCCGGGCATGCGCCCAAATCCAAAATTATCATACGAAACTGCTGGAACCTTTGAATCCCGATTCCGATCTCGTTTGCTCAAAAATCCTATCCTATTCAATTCTCTCAACTTAAAGCTTCTAAAATGAGAATTTCCACTCCAAGTCAACTCCGAACTTCCCGAAATTTAATTCCGACCATGCGTACAAGTCATAATACCTGAATTGAAGCTGTTCATGGCCTCGATTTGCTGAACGACGCGCTAGGGCTCAAAACAACCGGTCGGGTCGTTACATTATTAGCAAGCAGCTCCATATCAGCAAAGGCCTCAGCAAGCACATCCAAGTCTTAATGACCTTTTGTACAAATACATTAATGTCACTAATGAAATAATGGAAAGCCAAAATTCAGCCCTTAAAATTTTGGAAATCCATCTGAGCCAATTGGCAACTCTTGTGTCCGAAAAAATTCAAGGCCCCTTACCAAGTAATACGGAGAAAAACCTAAAGGAACACCTTAAGGCCATCACCTTATGATCAGGTAAGGAGCTTGATGAACCCAATGATGTCAGACAAGAAAAGAACCAGTCAGAACAACAGGTAAACAAGGGTAAGAATGTTCAAACACCCTCTGAACCATTAGAAGATAAAGAAGTCAAGAAAAAAAAAGAGAAAAATTTGAAAAAATGGTTCCTCTCCCTGTGACAATTCCTTTTCCACAAAAAAATGAAAAGAGAAAAGCTTGATGGCGAATTTGCAGTTTTTAGAAATCTTGAAACAAATTCATATCAATATTCCTTTCACTGATTCTTTGATGCAAATGCCTTCATATGCTAAATTTTAAAAGAAAAATTGTCAAGTAAAAGGAATTGGAAGAAGTTTCTGGTAACGACCTGACCGGTCGTTTCATGAGTTACCGCTCCATTTCCCCCATTCCTGCTTCTTATTGTCTTGTTAAGCTGTATTATGTGTTATCGGGTTGGTTGGCTCGGGTTCGGAGAGGTTTTGGTAAGGTTTGAGACACTTAGTCTTTTTTGAGAAAGCTTAAGTAGGAAAAGTCAACTGGATGTTGACTTGTGTGAAATAGGGCTCGGATGTGAATTTCGATGATTCGGATAGCTTCGGGAGGTGATTTGGGACTTAGGAGTGCGATCGGAATGTGTTTTGGAGGTCCGGAGTAGCTTTAGGCTTGAATTGGCGAAAATGAATTTTTGGCATTTTCCGGTTGATAGGTGAGATTTTGATATAGGGGTCGGAATGGAATTCCGAGAGTTGCAGTAGGTCCGTTGTGTCATTTGGGATATGTGCAAAATTTTAGGTCACTCGGACGTGGTTTGATAGACTTTTTGATCGAAAGCGGAATTTGGGAGTTTTTGGAATTCTTAGGCTTGAATCCAATGAAAATATGGTGTTTTGATGTTGTTTTGAGCTTTCTGAAGGCTGGAACAACTTGA